AATATAAATAAAATTGGTTTTTACGTACAAGTAATCTAAAAATAGGAGTTGGAAGAAAATATAAAATAGGGTTTTATTTCATTCTCTCTTGTTTAATTAGAAATTCGGATTAGTTAGGAACATAAGTGACAGTTGTAGATTTAGATAACTATATGTAACTTATAAATATTTATTTTGAATATAATAGATTGGGCCGTAATATTTAATAGTTAGAAGGTGTTCTCCAAGGGTCGCTTCTCGGGCCACCGTTGTACTTCTTTTACGTACTTAACTTAAAAAATTCCAAATTTAAATCGCGGTATTAGCTATATACTGAAAGATCAACCAACGAATATCGCTAAAACAAAATATATGATTTTTAAACCGAAAAATACGTATGTAAATTTTATAAATATCGTGAACTCAGAAGATGATAAATCACATTGGACCGAACATACAAAAAAAATTACCACTGATTTCGGTTAAGATCCAGGACTTATCTAAAGAGTAAATAAATTATTGATCAACAATTATTTTCTTCAATTTCATTTTAGACATTTAGTACCTATATAAGGGATGCATATTAAAAAATTATAATAAAACGATAAGCTATTTGTACAATGTGTATCGAATGTCTTGAATGAATATCAAATGATAATAAAACAAGAGTTTAATTAAGTATTTACTATTATTATACTTGCCTTTCTATATTGATCAGTGATCAACTCTGAAGAAAAATTAATACTCGAGGCTAGACTTGAAATATTTAATTATTCATTTAAACAAATAAAATTTTGTTAAAAACGGTTTAGAAACTAAATTTGTTTTGAAATTCATGAAATAATTCCAATTAGTTTTTTTTTTACAAAATTTATTTACTCTATATTCAGCTGCGTCTTCCGAGTATGACAGAAATTTTCAAGCTAAGGTACAAAAGGTTAATGTGTCGAAACTACTCTTAGGCTATTAATAGTGAAATTATAATAATATTAGACAATTTATATGCTCTGGCTGTGCTTTATCAAATCAAATAAAATAGGTCATTTCAAGTAGGCACAATTTCAAAAAAAAAAGATGAAAACAATGTTGGGTTTCATCGCGGTTATAAAGAGCTCAAGCTCAATGTGTGGCACTGCTATATAGAGTGATTCACATCGAGTGTCCTAATTAAAAGTTCTGGAGAACTAACAAAGACAACTTTCCAAATTTGGTATGTGGCCATAATAGCTGGTAATTTATATTCTAGAAATATTTTCGCATACTCAGCGTTGCCAGATCTACCCGAAACCAATGGCAACTTTGGAATTTCAAATGAAACACGCTATATTCTATTGCAAAATTGGTTACAACATGTTTTTTAATCGCAACGTAATATAAGGTTCCACATTTACAGTCGTCAGTGCTCGTTTTTCTTTGGTATGTATGTAAAAGTCAAAATGTTATATTACCTACAGAATGTCTAAAAAATGTTCATGTGTATATCCCTATATCCATTTATAGTAAAATATTGGAAAAAATGAAATTTTCATTATTGGGTAGTTAAATTTCGATAAAAATTGTTAACACGTAGATTTATCTAAACTGAATCCCTTGCGAATGTAGATTACGTGAGAGATATTACTAAGAGAATAATGATTGTTCACAAAAGTTTTACAAACAATGTACGTGTACCAAATTTGGAAAAGTAGAGAATAAATTCCAAAGTTTCCCTTATTTTCTGATTGATTTGGCAACGTTGCGTTTGATAAAAAATAAGGAATAACATATATTTCGTTATCACTGCTAAAATAAATGTTTAAAGTTAATATCATAATATATATGTTAATAAACATAATATCTACAACGAAAACTAATAATAATTGAATGAATGAATAAATAAATAAATAAATAGTAGTTGATAATAATAATAAAAAGTTGACTCTTATTTATGGTCCGATATTCTCCAGGGGGTTGTTTATCTGCATGAAATGTTAAGTCAGCCGTAAGTACCCTTTGTTGATGAATCTATTCTAAGAATCATTGGGTAGGATACATGTCATAAATTTTTCTTTGAATGAATTTCTTATCAGCTTCTTATTAGTTTTATTTTTGCCGATATCAGGTCGTTGTTTTCTTCCACGTTTAAACCATACCGGAGTAACGAATTTTTACAAATATTTGGCACCAAAGTGTCCTTTTATAGTAAATTTAATTTTTTTTTTATTAAAATATATGTCAAGCAATTATGTTACCCATGATATGATAACAAAAATTGTGATATTTTTTGATGAAAATATCAAAATGAGATATTTTATATCAAAACTTGAAGTGCCCCTAACGTGTAATTTTTAATTTTTATTATTATTAAAATTAAAATAGAATAAAAATAATAAAAATAAAAAATGTCGGGGATTTTTAAGAATATTTGAACCACTTCTACCACTGACTGTAATTTTTGTCAATTTTCTAAAATTATTATTACGTACTTTTTGTTTTGGTATATATTTATTAGTACTAAAGAAAATTTATTTGTTGCTTGTACATATGTATGTTTAATGTAAACAACAATTCTCCCTAATCCTACAGATGGGCGTCGAAAACTGGTTGATTAAGAATGATATAGATCTAAAATGGGTAAAAATATATTATTTATAATATGTGCAATTAATGCGATTTTGATGACCCTACCTAACACAACCTGTGCAATGTTCAATATATGCAGTTTACTGCTTTTTTTGTTATCGTTTTTTATCAAGCTTTGCACAATTTATTCAGTTATTTATTTTTTTCGAACTTCTATTTGTCCACGCTTTTCAGATAACATAAGAACCTATTTATTTAATGAAATTAAAAATATTAAAACATTAAATTAAAATTACTTTCATTTTCTTTCTTATCCACTAGGTGTAAATTATATTAAATGATTTTCCGTTTTGACACCACATAATTGCACAATTTAAAATGTAAAATTTTCATATTGTTAAACACTTCATGGAGTAAAAAATATAGTCACGTTTTATCCGATTTACTACATCCCTAATTAACTTACGTAATTACGCTGCAGCCGTTCGAAGTAGTTTTACATATAAATAAAACTTACGGGGTTCGTAAATCCTTTGTTGATATAACGAAGATTAGCAATCAATCCCATCGGATTCACGTAAATTTCGCGCGCCGGCAACGTTGGTTCAAGGCACAGCAACAATGACCGACTAGACAGAGAAAACTTACTCGGGACCTGATCGGTGGCGCCGTCAAAATGCGGCCTCGCGAACAACAACAGTAACGGGTACGTCCACTATCGGAAAGGAGAAGACGGTTGTCAAGTGAAATCTGTATGTTCCTATGTGCGCCGTGTCGATTTTCTTGAACGCACGGTATTTTGATAAATATGTCATTCTGATTTTGTTTATAGTGTAGGTTCGCAAATAGTCGTGTGTAATTCGCGAATATCTAGTTGCCTGTGTCCGTTTAATGACAACAAGTGGTCGACGATTCTTTTTCGTTAATCGAAGGACTTATAATTGATATGGTTCAAAACGGATTATGCATTTTTTCAACACTATAAATGAAGAAACCACCTGGGTAAGAACCAAATTCAGTGCTAAATCGGTACGATTTCTCGGTTTTCTTGTATTTTTAGAATGTTACTGTCATTCGGTGCCCTTAATTTTCATTTCCGTGTTCGTAAACAAGTTTTATCAGTGTTTTTTTGTAATCTTGTCAACCAGCTGTAGTTGTTTCGTGTTATTTTCGTTCTTTCTTTTTATTTTCACTGCCATTAATCGTTTATCTTTAGCTACTCAAGCGGGAGAGTGTATTTTTAAACGAGGCCAAGGATCATGCAGGGGTTTTACTAATCCTTCCTAGGCGAACCTCTGAAATACCAGTTTTAAGCTTTACCGTAGAAATTTTGGAAATTCCAACGGAACAATAGTAATGGGAATACTAGTAAATATGTGACATGACATTTCCATACACTGTAATATCCTTTAAACATCGCGGAGTGCTTAATATTCATTAGCTGCGGTGTTGCCAGGCGTACGCGTTCCGTCACTTTCTCGTAAAATAACAAAACGGGCGCTTATCTGTCAGATAAAATCAATTTCCGCCCCTAAGCGAAAGACTCGCAAAAAATTAGTTATAACTTTGTATTATATTGAACTTTCGAATTAACTGTCCTTCGATGCTTTCAATACATTTGCAACAGAACAAGTGAGTGAGTTCTATGCGCTTGGCCCTTACTAAACACCCCAAAAAAATACATAAGTGCCTGGTGTTACATTCCTACTTAAATACTTTTAGAAAGCTTGGTTTAATTGTAGCGCCGAGTCAAGGTGGCACGATTAAAAAATGCGTGCCTCTCGAAGCAAATAACACTTGATAGTTCCTTCAGAATATAATTATTGCATTGCGATGACCCTAGTAATCGAATCCATCATTTTGATATTTATTTATTTACATGCTTTCTTTAAAAAATTCAAGCGACTTTGAATAAAATTTAATATATAAACTTTAATTTTAAAAGTGTCTGCCAAGTTAGCGTTTTTTCAAACAATTGCGTACTATTATTAAAAGGCATTTTGAAATTGACCATTTATTTTTCATTATTTGTTATAATTTGCTATGACGTTATTGAAGAAAAACTCTCAAATATCAGTGCTTCATAGTTCTGACAACGAGAATAACAAAAATAGATTCAATGGAACAATCAACATCACTAAAGTACATCAAATTTTGTAATTAAGTAAAATATTTACTTAATCGATAGGACATAGCTGAAAATTTATATACCTATCAGATTTAGAATAGATCAGTATAGGAAACACAATTTTTGCGTTGCATTTTTGTTTTTTGTAAATAGTCTTGAAAATGACACTCGACCTCGCATAGGAAGTATGTGTTTATATTACCTTTAACGTCTTATTTTGCGAACTCTGCATTGAACCAAAGCTTGTAGGGAGTGGATATATAAAATGACTCAAAAAGAACACTTAGATTTTTACGTCAAATAATACCTACATTTGCACACAATCGGGATAATAGGGAGAAATTGGTTAGAAACGAGGTTAGAAATATAATTTACGTGTTCAGACCAGTTTAGGTTTTCAAGTATATGTATTGGGATGTAGACTCAAAGCTATTGCAGTAATCCTTTTGCAATGTTTTATTATTAATCTTAATATCTATATTATTTATAACCGTATTCTTTTGTAAGTAATCTATATTAATTTTTATTTTGTGATAAGTAGTACTGCACATAGACCTGAAGGTCAACATTAATTTCTTGTTTTTCCACTTGTTTTGCCTGCGAAAGTATATAGAAAAGCCGTGTCATCTGGCTTTAAATTTTTTATTTTTTAAATTTAGAACATATATTGAATAAAACAGGGGTCAAGTACACTACCCTGTGGAACTCCATATGCCGGTGTTGTCTGTTTACGTTCCGATGTCAGACATACTATCACAGAGATTTTTGTTATACATGTATACAAATGTTATGAAGCTTTATTAATTACAATTATTAATATAATTAATAGATTTGTCAAATGCATTTCGTTGAAAATAACTTCTGTAAACCATTTGTAAGGTTGGGAATTTGTAGGACCGGGAGAATTTTTTTCCGTGGGTTCCCATATTCTTCGAAGTGACTGCACCTAGTTGATTCGGATTGATAGTTGCTGTTGCACATCTGGGAAGATTAAAGGGTTCACTGGGTATCCACATGGTCCACTCATTGGGGTCAATTTGGCCATTTTCGTTCTAAACAGCTGACGTTGAAAAAATATGATGAAAAATTAAATAAATAAATCATTTCATAAGTTATTGTACACTTCCTCCATTTAAAGTTTTCTCGATTCTCGTGTAAACCACTGACTTCAGAAATAAATAGATCCAAGTTTGTTCGAAAATTGTTAACGTTTTTATAAAGGTCTTCGATATTTTTACCCATTTTGCCTAAATTAAAACGGCAAAAGCTGCGTGAATTAGGGACGTTCCATATATAGCGTACCGGATGTGTTGAAGTCTTAAATTAGCCCGTATTATATTTATGGCATTATACACCAACTACAGTTTTAATTGGTAGGTTATTTCATGCGTTAAAATGTTGCGTAATTGCTAATACGAAACTCTCCGCTATTGCATTTTCTTTTTCGCGAAAAAAGCATGACACCTGTGAACGAAAACTCGAAAACAAAACGAAGGGAGACCCCGAAAAGGAAAACGCCTGCAATAAGTACCTAAAGAATACCTAAATAATTAGTGTTGGCTTTGGTTAGCTACAATTTTTACAGAAATGCACATTTTTGCTCTTTATCGGACGATAGCCTAAGTCGGCAAGTTTCACAAGTTTTCGTCCTCTGTTATTAAACGTATGAACTCGCATTTTGCATTTCCATTATATAATAAAACAATTTTTTTAAATGCCGGTTGTTAATGCATATCAAAGTGTATGTAATTTGCACGGCGTTCCCATCCAAATAGAGATGCTAAGCATACCGAAGCTTCAAATTTGAAACGAAGTAAGAGATATAGGAAGATATATAATAGGAACGCTTAGACTTTGATTCGCTATTCACAATTGCAATTCACGCGAAGTTTAGGATTGCACGGTACGTTATATAATGATACGATATTAATCATTTGTTTGTTTATAAATAAATACATAGCAACCATTGTTTGTTGTTAATAATTGCCGAAGATCATGTCGTAATTTTTCTAAAAAGGGGCAATTTGACAATCATTTGCTACTGGTGTCGAAATTGTACACTCGTAATATTTAGCACCACTTAGGGGTGTAGTAAAGTAAAATAGGGCTGATAATCGCCATTGCGATTACTTTTTTAATGGTGAAAACCTAGTTTTCTGTTGTTCAAGACTAAAAGTGTTTCATTTGAGTATTAAGACTTTCAGGAGTCATACTTCGAGACACACTACCTACAGATGTGTCGTATTTTATTTTAAGTTACAAACTCTGATTTTCAAAATTTTGCAGCATATTACGTGTTTATCATTATAGATATAACATTAGATATCGCTATTTGTAGATAAGTGGCCCTGCTTGGCTCTTTATTGGTGGTACATGATTATATTTTTTTACTTAAAAACAAGCTTTCGACAATTTCACGTAATGATTCTGTAAGTGATCTTGTTATCACATAACCATGTAAGATAACGTAGATATATAAAATCAAAAATGCTTGACTGACGTTTGCCATAATTATTTTTAAAAAATTAAACTTAAATCATGGAAAAATGTATTTAAAAAAGAAATATAATCTAGAAAATTCATTTAAGTAAATGTTTTTTTAATTGATTATCAAGATAACGTTAAAGTTTTTAATTTTCATAAATGTCATGGCTAGAGACATCTACTGGCTTTAGGATGCGTTCTCATTTATTGTTCGTTTGTATATTTCAAGGGAGTTCTGACAATAAAACCGAAAGTTGTTCCTTCATTTTTCAAAGAAACTTCCACAGGCTACTGTAATACTATTTACACATCTTCTGGATTCCTCCTGCGTCGGTTCTTCACAAATCGAACTTGCTGACGTTCCTCCGATCATCCTGTTGACTTCTTCAGAGCTTAGCCGAAGCTGGTTTGCATTCTACTCTTTATTTGTTTATACACTGTTACAGTACCAGTTTCAGTTAATCTCTGACGAAGTAAGTAGTACCTTTGCATATGCGTATGCTGTCGATAGTAGTTTTATTTTTTATTTTTTTAGTTCTACATTGCCATGTGAGACAACAGTTTATTTTTTTTTTGTGTGTATTGTGGATTTGAATACTTGGTGTTTGACTTCGGTCACCTCCGCTGTATATAAGACTGGGTGGGAACTATTACAACTTTTGGTAACTCTCTGGTAAAATGTTAAGTGTTTTAAATTGAATTCGGATTGTCAGCGTCGCATCCTAAGAGCTACCGGTGTCCGGATTTATGATTTTTAGTTGTAGCTATTTTTGTTAACACGATTGACATGGTGCGATAACCCTGGACGTTACAAAAACAGTTTTTTACATATTTTGCCTAGATAGCGAAACCATGATATTCTTATGAATTAGTTCTGCGACATCTTTAGGATTTATTTGTGTTTCTTCAAACTGTACGATTGTTAGCATTGTCAACCGACATTAGAGACATGTTCAACTCCACTTCAAGTGAAAAGTGATAAAAAATGAGGAATAGGCAGCTTGGTCTATTATAAGAATCAAACTCTACAATAACTGAACTTACTTTAGAAAATTTGTCGCTTCCTTTCCTTCATAAGTTAATGACTACTAATATGCCTCTAAATACGCTTCCTGAAAATTATTTAAAAATGAACGTAGATAGTGGAAATAACATATTCTTCAGCCTATCATTAAAAACGAAGTCTTTAATATTATAATGTCATTCTCTTATGAAGTATAGGAGATTTCCACCACAATTTTACAAAAATCAGATAATTTTATTGCATATTCGCTTACGTTTTTGTTTAATGTGTTACTGAAAAATGCGACTTTTCTAGAGATATTTAAAACTGACTAGAATTATTTCGTTACAAAAGAAGGATGACCACAAATTTGTGGCGAATTCTTAATTGCATGCAAACAAATAACTGAAGTTTATAATAGCAGAAGTAAAGAAAAATATTACCTTGTGGGTCCCACAAGGGTCTGTTCTCGGACCCTTATTATTCCTGATCTACATAACACGCCGGGCCTGGAAAACGGATGCTTGGCAGCGTTTGCGAATAATAATTCCTATCTACCTTGTGAGCGTTCGGTCGAGGCAGTTTGCAATAAACTTCAATTAATGTTATATGCTTTTAACGATTGGTTTGTCAACAACAAACTTTGTCTTAACAAAGACAAAACGGTTTTTATAAATTTTATTTCAAGGTCTATACAATTTGACAAAAAGTTACCTTGTGAAAGTTGATCGTTAATTTGTATCACAAGTTTCTGATGCAAGTGCTTGGGCTACACATTGATAACAAGCTTTGTTAGGTCACACATATTGCATATTGTGTCGTAAACTATACAGTTTGTATAGACTAGAGCAAGTCACCAACCAAAATGTTTTTTTTATCTTATTGTCGCTCATATTTTTCTCTCGAGTTAAATGTGGGGTGGAGTGTTTCCCCTTGTACTACAATATTTATTTCTTTTTAAACTCTGTCCTTTTTTTTAAGAGACACTTTCGTAATTTTAATAACATATATGATAACAGATATTTTAAACTCTAAAAAAGTTTCGACGAACCTTTTTAATAGAAAATTGTCTCTATAGTGTTTTTTTCAAATAAACTTCCACAGGCTACTGTAATACTATTTACAAAACTTGTGGATTTCTCCTACGTCCGTTGTTATTGAGTTGAACTTGCTAACCTTTCGCCAATCATCCTGTTGGCTTCTCCAGAGCTTATCTGAAACTGGCTCGCACTTTACTCCCTACCTGCTTATATATTGTTTCAGGAGGCGGAGCTAAATGAGGGGCATAAACTTCGTCTCGGATAACTGATTCCAATATTGGTGACACGACTGATTCCAATATTGGTGACAGATAAACTCCGGAGTCGCGGTTAAGATTATTAGGTTGCTTATAGATTTCTATAGATTCTCGGATTTTTCGTTGCTAGAAGAATTGATCACATGCAAGAATTTTAGTTTTATCGCAGAAAATTTTATGTCCGGTTTCGTGATTGTGCTCGGCAACTGCGAATGTCTTATGGCTCTTATTTCTTTATAACTTTTGATATGTGGTCATTTCAAAAAAATGTCTAGCTTCTTTATTAAAACCCTTTACAGGCAAAACTGAAAACTATTACATTAGATACACAAGATATTCTGGTTATTTTCGACGTAGCATCCCTCTTTACTAAAGTCCCTATTCCTGAAACTCTCAACATCATTTCGGAACCAAACTTTCTCTCCTAAATTGAAAAGTGCTTGTCTGGAACATATTTTTCTTATAACGGTGAAATTTTTGAACATGGTCAAAAATTCCTAATAGATTTTCTTAGTCATTTTATCTCTATACACCCTAAAATACGTTTTAGCATTCAATTAGAAACTAATAATAACGTCTCATTCTTAGCTATTCTTATCAATAGAAAATCAGATCTAACATTGATGCATCGTGTTTACAGAAAACCTACGCATACAGACGGTTACCTTAATGCATTGTCACATCACCATCTGGCCCAAAAATCATCTCTCGTTTACAGAGCCGTAAAGCTATCTCAGCCCGAGTCACCCAGAATTAAAACACCTTACCTCTGCTCTTCTCTCTAATAATTTCCACATTAAAGATATTAGGCATTCCATCCCATCACAAAATACACTTCACCACAACCTTCCAATAACAATGAGCCTGAAAGTAATCTCACACTTGCCACTGTTGTCCTTCCTTAGATTCAAAACATCAATGACCATATATCAGAAGTTCTAAATAAATATAACGTCAAAACCAAATTTACAATTTGTCCAAAAATTTCTCAACACCTTCGATCCGTCAAAGACAAAATTTGAGATGCCAAGGGTTTACAGCATTCCGTGCATATGCGGCAAAGAATACATTGGAAAGACCGGACGAAAAATATCAACTAGGTTCAAAGAACATGAAAGAGTCTTAAAACTAAGAAAAATAAACTCGTCAGCTGTTGCCGAACACAATCACGAAACCGAGCATAAAATTGTATTCGATAAAACTAAAATTCTTGCATCTAATCAATTCTTCCAATAAAAAATCCGAGAGTCTATAGAAGTCTATAAGCAACCTACCTACCTAATAATCATACCATAATAATCCTAACCGCGACTCAGTCATTTCCAATTTTATTACTCTACACCTTTCTGAAATAGCCTATAATAAAATAGTATATTATGCAACAAGTGCGGTAAACAGCATTTGACTCACGAGTTTATTTGATACAAGCGGAGCGAGTGTTTAATAACCGAGTGACTTAAAAAGTTGACTAAACGTGTTGTATACTATAATTTTTCTACGATCGTTGGTTTTTGCGCATATTTTCGCAGAATCGACAAACGTCAAAATTATATATATCTCCGAAAACATCCGATTGCTCCCAAACCCGTGCGGTAACATCGCGGAAATGTCCGAAGTGGCTCGGATACGTGGGACACGAAACTGACGTGGTAAAGTGACGCTTCCCGCACGCTAGATCGGTGTGTAATTAGGTATTTTACATACGCGAGTAGAAAAAATAAATTAATAAGCCTGTGGGGGTATTCGTAGAAATTTCTTACTTGATCCAAACTCGTTGCCTTCCTTAGCCCATTTTTGGAAAGCGTTATGGTAACTATTAAAAGAAAGCGCCAATTAAACCCTATTCATGTTAATCGTGGTCTGAATCCGACCCTATTAGTTTGCAAATGGAGTAGACCGCTCATCGACAACTGCGATTGATGTATCATTGAAAGTGCATAGAGAGGGAAAGGCCAATAAATACTCGGAAAGTTTCTTCTTTGTTCGCTTGCTTTTGTCCGCACTAATTTATAATATCTCTTCGGCAATTTGTTAGGTAAAACTTAGTTGGTTTATCGAATTTTTGTTTTTGAACGACACTAAGGTCTCGATTTGATTTAATGATATTATAAAAAGGAGAAATGTCGAAAAACTTGCACAGCTAACACCCAAAGAGCACAACGTTTTCAAAATTAAAGATGTAAGGATGTCGGATTGGGTTTCTTATAGATGTTTTGGTCTTGGTCTTCGGTGCATATAGTTACGTAAATATCACTTACATGTACGTATTGTGAGCAAAAAGTATGCTTTACGTAATTTTCATGATAATATTTTTACGATGTATTTAATACTCACACAAAGCTTTTGCGTACATCAATATGACGTTTATTCACCATTTATGCCTTGAAGATGTATGGAGGAATGAATGAATGTATTTAATAATTTATTGTTTACATTTGGGTATGAAACAAAACATCTAGTTGTCTTCTGATTTTAGCTTATCTTGAGCTTTTCCCAGCCAATTCTGTATCGACTTCTTCAGCTTAACCTACAAAATATTACATAAAGATAATTAATAATTAATCAGTTTCATAAAGTTGGTAACTTATTAGATCTTTTTAAAAAATGGTATACTTCAAAAACAAGGCAAACTTTACTCAGTTTAACATTACTAATACTTACTAAATAACTAAAACTACGATAACTAATATTTGCTAATAATTCAGTTGGAATTTTAACCGCCAAAATTTAATAGATAATCCTTCGAAAATATTCCATAATAATAAAATCTAATATACTTTATAATGAACTTACTTACTTACACTATGACCTTGGGGGCTATCTGTTTTAAATAATCTAAAAAAAATACTGCATAGAAATAAAATATTTGAACTTAACATAGTCAATATTGAACTTACTTGACAATTTTAACCAGGACACTAGAAGTTCGCATAGGGACTAACTGAATTAAATAACAAAAAACACTACATAATAATAAATTATATGAATTAAACACAGATTCTACTGAACTTAATTGAGGACATTTTTTTTGTTAGAATAGGCTTCCCACTCTCTTAGCGATCGATTGGGTTTATTCTAGAACGTATTTCTTGTAATTACGGAGGGTGGAAAGAAACAAATTGAAATGTTTGATATGAGGGCAGCTCATTTTTATTACTCTCAAAAAAAAAAAAGAAATTTTAACTCTAAAATTAGGTATTTAATTTAATTGATATAGATAAAATAACTTCGAAAATAACTAATTTCAAAATTCCTGTTACTTAATTTTTACTTTAGTTTGTAGAAGTCGGAATTACATCACCCGGCGGTTTCCTTGCCGCATGAGATAAGCTTATATACACCCGGAGCAAATCAAGATCTACCAAATATTTTTTTATCACTCATTTGTAAATATACCTAAGCGTTTCATGAAACTTGTGATACCTATTGAAGGTATGCCGACCGAAAATTTGTACCTATAACAGACGTAAGGTTGATGAAAGGGAATGAAATCTTGTTGAAAGTTTTAAAATTAAAAATAATGGTGATGGAATTTTGCTGCATTGACCAAAAAGTAAAGTCCTCTGTAAAAGTTGCACACCAATAAATGTGACATATGATGGTATTCTTATGCGTTCAGAATGTGACCTATAAATTTGAACCTTAATGGTTTGCCGGGTCTGCTTTGCATTATATATGAGGGTTTAGTACCTTATCCGCAGTATAGAGTAATAGGTGACGCTATATATAATGATAACAATTTATCTTCAATAAATATGCTGGCAAATGTCAATGAAAACGTTATTCATCTCTGTATAAAAAACTAATGTTTAAAAATTAAAAATTTTCAAAACATAGTGTTCCGTATATCGCTCACTGGGTGCAATAATGGCACATATTAAAAAATAGTTGTTTTAAAAAGAGAATTATACAAATCAATTTGTAATTATAATGACAGATCACTATAAATTTTGTAATAAGTGGGAGAGTTGATATGAGTTATCTCAATATTTCAGTTTTTATTTTCCTAAATCACGGATTATTTTGTGGATGGGCCACTGTTGCATCCAGTGAGCGATATGTTTATCGGGCTAATATGTGACATTATATTTATGTACCATGTTAAACTAAAAAACAATTATCAATACATACCTATCGGATGTGGCGGCGGCGGTAAAAATAACACGCTCGTTTTCATCTCATCTAATCGCATTGCGTGTCATCGTAGGTAGCGGAGTAAAACAGAAGAGAGAGGGAAGGATATAGCCGCCTCGTTTTTTGCCAGCCGTTAACGAGAACGTGACGTAGATCGGATAACGTCACGTATACGCCGACACAACGTACGGTGTTGCCGCTAGCGTATAATAGTCCTTGTCTAACGGGAAATCGTTTGATGTTTGTTTGTCGCATCTTGGGCGGAGGAACAAGAGTGACGGGGTCATTGGGTGTACTGAGATATGTCAATAAAAATCGTTGAAGTAAGCAGGAATACATTGTTTCATCATCTAGAATCAAAGAGAAATTAAAGCCGTAAGATGCGCTGTAGGTTTGAATAGATAGGCGTCTGGGTTCCCACCTCCGTTCTCACTAACCTGGGAAAGAGGCCTTAACTTGTCTTTAACTCGAAATCTAATCTGTAAGTTTTCGATTATTCGTCATTCGTCTTTTTCTACCAATTAATTTCGCAATGAAGTTTTATGCTCCAATGGTTTTTTTCAGATATATCTTTCTTTTTAGATTTTATGTTGTAAATCGTTTTCCTAAAAAATAGAGACAAAAGACAATCTGCCGGAAATTTCCACCAAAATGAAGTTACGTTTTTCAATTTAGGTAACAATTTTTTTGCTACATATTTTTAAATCAAAATGTACACTGTACAGATCAAGTATCTTCGAATCGTATATATATATATATATATATATATATATATATATATATATATATATATATATATATATATATATATATATATATATATATATATATATATATATGGTTACATGAACTTTTCACAACTAATTCATAACTTCGTATAATATGTCCTGTGTTTTTTGAAATACGTGCGGTAAAGTTGTTGGCCACACTGGATAATAATTTTTACACTTTATAAGCGTCATCGTCAAATCACTCTTGGTTGTTTTTTCGTTGATTTATTTTTTCCAATTGTTTAAAAATATATATATCGCAAAAGTTAAGATGTTTAGGAAATACGTTCATGTGAAGTTTTTTCTCTAAAATGAGCTCAGTATTAAATCCATACATCAATAGTTCCCACATCTCTGAACTTATTAAAGCAGCGAATATTTGATATACAATTAACATTTACATCAAGGAAGTTAGTTCTGGTAAGCTGTAATATTTAGACCAGGTTATTATTAATTAATTAATTAATACATGCTTTAAATGAAATGCACAACAACAAAAAGGAAAATGATGTTCGTAATTTAACTTTCTGATTAAAAGTTTAAAAACTTTTACAGAAATTAAGTTTCTACTCAACACTAAAGTGTAATATTTGAAATCAGCTGTTACTTCACTTTAACAAATTAGTTCTTCTAAAAGGAAGCGTTTTTCGATCCTACCCTGTAGTCAGACACCATGGGATTGAATCTTTGTCGATCGACCCCCGTATACCGGATTCTCGTTCCAAATATTCCGATCTCGAGTGTGTCGCTTCGTCATCGACCCGCATAATAATACGCCGATAAAGAAAAATATTCATCCATATGGAAAGCTCTAGTAAAACAAAGATGCGCGGATCCTTTTAAACCCAAAGAGAGGGAAGTTAAATCTACGGTGTTGTCATATTGTTAAAAACTAGTAGCACATCTCTGACCGAGTTGTCTTTTGCTGCCACTGCAGAACGTTTGGCTATACTAGAATATTACCACGTTTGTAAATCCAGTAAAACCGTCCAGGTTCGTGAAACTAGAAGGTTAAATTAAACATCACTCCGCGTAAACGTTAACACAACTTAACAAAATTACTGGTAAAACTGTATGCATCTATACAGATAACAGGCACGCAGTTCTGGTCTTTCATAGACCACATTTACGCCAGAGCAATCACTAGAATGTCTCTCTGCCCTGGTTAATGCGTCAGTCGACGATGTGATCATCCTTAGTTGGATTAGAGGACTAAACTAAGATGGCAAACTTCTGTCGATGTCATGACGTCAGTCATTAAAGAGCTGATAAAGGAAAACTACCGAAAACGATTTCTAAAAGAATGGGATGAGAAAGAAACATGTTGACTAGCTAGGAAGCTACGCATGCCCACAGATATTTCGTACTTAACAAACACAAATTCAGATTAGATTTGAATAGCATCTGCGCGTCCATGTTGTGTACACAGGAAGACCAGGTAATTTAAACACTTTCTATCGGAATATCCTAACATCTCGTTTAGGCGTGACGAATCATATCCATCCCCTACTGTAATCAGGGAAACGACTCTTGCAGTTGTCATCTTGATGTAAAGCTGAGTGCTGTCGTGTAGATTACCCTCATTCTTTTACCGATATAGATACAACAAGTTTGATAAAGGCCACTCTAGCCTCGAGTGATTGAAGAAGTTTTGGCATACCATTCAATACCAATATTAAGTATATTTATTTCAACCGTATTAAGTCTCGCTGTGACTTTTTATGAACCCGTCCATATTCTTGTGTTTTTCGCTTCCGCTAACTAAAAAAAATTGAGTACTCTCACTACTCCACTGTGAGAAGGATGAACTATAATATAAGCAAAAATATCGATAGGTATTGGTTTAACCTGTATTTGCCATCTTTTGTGAAGATACTCTTCTATAGTTTTCTTATAAAATGCAATGTGATTTACCTACGTGATTTCAAAAATCAGTCGATATAACGTGAAAGTAACGTTTTCAAGTCGTAAGATAAACTTTACAGACTTAATCTCTGGAAAAATAACTAGCGACTGGCTCGTTAGGTAAATGGAACGTTTAATAAAAGTATCGCAACTGTGAATACCTGCCGTTCGAATTCTATCGTGTGCAAATATCCGTTATCGGAGAATTTAGATTATCCCAGCGTTTAATCCAGACTCCACGTATGAAATGTTAATCATGGCGAATCTACGGCAAAGCGAAACCAGCACTCGATGCTCGAAGCGCGTTTTAATTAATCCTTTGGTCGGTCGAATAGTCGGAGCTTATTTACGACAATACAAATTCTAGGTGGGTGATGAGATTGAGTCAACAGTGACGGTTTTGCATACTCTCTAAAACCCACTGTGAGTAGTACGAGGTTTGACCGGACCAGAATGTTTGGAATGAGTATATTGTTTAATTGAAAAGGCTAATAGAAGGGCAATTTCAGTGATTTCGACAACTGGGGGAGGAAATTGACGGTATTGATTTTATCCTATAGAAAAAAGAATTCAACGGATAAAAATAAAAATAATTATTAACAGGATGGCTATTTTTTAGTTACAAGCAACTTGTAGATACTTATAGGGTACTAGAACATGATAAAACAATAAAATATAAAAAAAAAGCAGAAAGCAAGTTAAGCAAAATTAACATTAACATTTTTTTTATTTGATTTTTGAACTATGGAATTAAACAAATCAATGCGTCCCGGTAGTTCATTTGTTTTTCTATAAACACGAGAGAAGGAACAAAAATACCCATAGTTTGTACGATGATAGGCAATACTAAATAGCTGTGTTTGTCTAATGTTTCTTGCAGAAGTTCAGTTTATTATTATGCACCGGCTGAAATAGAAAGCAAAGATCATAATATTTTCTACGACTTTTCAAGGGTTGAATATTAACACGTCAGCCAATTCATTGAAGTTGATTTCATCCAACGGAAAATGCATTTTACCGTAAAAAAGACTTCTGTGCGCTCTGCAATGAGACAATATAAGTTCTGTAATATACACTCTTGATCACGTGGATATTGGACAAATGCGTCAAAGTGTGGAGCACGAAACTCAGTCAATTGATAGCCTTATTGCGTACAAAATCAATGAGGTCACTACCAAAGGCTACACCCATATCTTTGACTGAATGAACTCTTTCTAAGTATTCATCACATAGTTTATAGTCTAATAAAATGATTCTTGAAATCACACCTCCATGTAAAAAAAAACAGATCACAATTATTTCTAGAATGAATTGGGCTATACATACATCATCAGCTTACAGTAAAAACCTACAATTTGTCTCTTGCAACTTCATTAATGTTACAATTACATTAATGTAACAATTAAATAAATAAGGGGAAAGATGATGAAAGTATATTTGTATATATATATATATTAAACTTTTTACTTTTAAATGTGTCCGTGTCCCAGGAACCTTCAGTAAAGTTCTACGCAGTCCTAAGGCTTGTAACTTTTTTAGTAAAATTGATATTTTCAACCTTATATTTGTCCTCAGCGAAATCGTTTTAAAACAAAACATAACGGTACTCCGCCTTCGGCCATATCATTTTGAATTAAACCGCATAGAATCGGTATGGGAGCAATCAAAAGGCATAACATATTTTGAAAATGAGGGACGTTGAAACCCTCATGCAAGAAGGAACAAAGACAGTGGATAGTAAAAAATGAAGTGCGTCAAACATGTGATTGAAATAGAAGAAAGAATATGGGAAGCTAGTTCATCAGACTACTCGGAACATGATTACTAAAATTTGCAAATGAATTTGTATTATAAGTAGTAGATTTTTTTTTTAAATAATGATTATTAAAATTTTTCTTCATATTATTCTTACTTCTATATAAGTTTTTGTTTACTTGATCATAGAATAACTAATATTTCAATTATGTCCATCTCTATCACCATAATCATGTATAATTATTATATTTATTTTTCTGCTTCCTTCAGTAAAATACCTAATTATACACCGATCTAGTACCTGGAAAGAGTCACTTTACCACGTGAGTTTCTTGTCACACGGATCCGAGCCCCTTCGGGCATTTCCGGGATATTACCGCATGAGTTTGGGGGCAATCGGATGTTTTCGGCAGAGCTTGAATTTTGACGTTTTTTAATTCTGACGTTCATGTCAGTAAATGTATTCGTGTTATTTTGCAAAAATGTACCCAAAAACTAACTGTCGTAGAAACAGTATAGTATGCAACACATTTAGTAAAGTTATTATTATATTGGTAAAGCTATTTTATTAAGATGTCATAACACGTAATATCTGTTGACATAAAGGAACAAAAAGCAATGCGAAAAACTTACGGTGGTGATTCCTTGCTTATTATCTGTTATGTTTATTACAATTACAATATTCTTACTCTGAGACAAGTCAATCCTATCATAAAACAAGACTTGGTAAATAGTTTAATGGTTTGTTTAGGCCAAAATTGTTATGATTTTAATGGTCAATTTTATATTGCTAAGGAAGGATTAATTATGGGAAACCCACTTAGTCCACTAGTTGCAGAAATTTTTGTGGACAATTTGGAAAAAAAATCATACATAAACATCCTCTGAGTAAAATATTTCTTTGGTGGTATAGATGCGTAGATAAGGGTATAAAATTTATAGAGACGGAACTAAATAATTCTTTAAACTTTCTGCACTTAACTATAACTAAATTACAGAACAAATCAGATTTTTTCATTTACCATAAACCCTCACACACAGACACAGTAATACATAATAACTCAAATCACTCTCACACACCCAAAATGGCTGCCTTTTATTCTCTTATACACAGACTACTTACTTTACACAGAAAATTTTGAAGGAGAATTAAATATTATAAAACAAATAGCATTTAACAATGTTTACGAGCCCTATTTGTTACATTAGATTATAGTTACAGTTAAAAAACAGTTTCAAATAACTCGGAACCCTATGTATCTCATATAAAATACCGAAGCCAAAATTTATAAAACAATAAGGAGAACCTAGCCAGAAATTTTCGAAACATCTATCTAAATTTGGTCTTAAGATTGCTTTTAAAACGGAAAACACCATTGGATTTTGTTTTAAACATTAAAACTAAATCACGAAACACAAAATTAATATCGGACCAACATGTAGAACATTTAAGAAACGAACATAAAAGAACGTATAAAAATAAAAATTCGGATTACAACTATGCTATTCCTTTAAATTCAGAAATACGCAAGTTTGACGATAATTTTGATATTTTATATGAAGCAAAAAGTAAAAAACTAAATCTGTTGCAAGCTATGGAGATTATTAAAATGAGATATTGGAATCTATTACTTAATGACCAATTGGATTTAAATGTGTCTCCGTTGTTAAATTTAAATTTATAATCTTACACCGCTAATTAAGAATCTATTACCACTATCACCACGAAATATTTAATTTTTTGTATTTGATAAAGGCACGGTGTTGTCGAAACAACTGTCATAAAGTAATAAATAACTGTGAAAATTTGAACATTTTTTGTTCTGATGTAATTGTGTTAAACACATTTTCATCAGGTAAGAGACACGTCAGTTCAATACTTGTAACAGAATTGTGAGGAATGTTTCTCGTTTTAGAGTGCTCATGAGGCGTGTGTTCGTAGGCGAAAACAGGATCAATAAAAAATCACTTCAATTGAGCTCTATACACATTTTATCCCTCCTTTTCTCTGAACGTTTTTCTGAGCTATCCCGAGTCGGATCATTCCAAAGGCCCTGTGCTGGAGTCCACGTCATTATCTGTTTTGGTAGTCGCTTATTTGTCATTCTCAGAACGTAGCCGTACCATTTTCCTGTGCTCAATACCCATAATATCCGATATTCGGTCATTGCGGATTTTTTCCAGCTTTGACCTGCTGCACGCTTCTAAAAATTCGTTTCGGTTGCTTCTAAGATTTTTTGTTCTCTCTTTCGGTGGTCATATTTATACATTTTATCCCTCTCTTTCTCTGAACGTTTTTTTGAGCTATCCCGAGTCGGATCATTCCAAAGGCGCCCTCTGCTATGCTTCTTTCTATCTCTAATATCCTCTTCGATTTCCTCTGTCCAGCTTCTCCTTGGTGTTTCGTCTTCTTCCTGTTGGAGTCCACGTCATTATCTGTTTTGGTAGTCGCTCGTTTGTCATTCTCTGAACGTAGCCGTACCATTTTCCTGTGCCCAATACCCATAATATCCGATATTCGGTCATTGCGGATTTTTTCCAGCTTTGACCTGCCGCACGCTTCTAAAAATTCATTTCCGCTGATTTTTTGTTCTCTCTTTTCTTCCCTGTATATTTCTATCTTTAATTGCATCGTCTACGGTTTCATCGTTGGTAATATTAAGCCAAGGTACTTGCACATTTGGGAGTTTCTTGTTCTCTAGCAATTTGCCAAAATCAGGTCTTACGGGCTTTTTCCCGCACTCATTTATTCCATTTTTGTAATGTTTATTGCAAATTTCAATTATAACCGATTCGAACTTTTACCAAAAATTCAGCACTTTATGATGCGGGAACACCGCTTTTTGGGTAGCGCATGCGAATAGTTTCGGAATTGGTTGGACTCCGCGAACAAAGCTAACAATTTTTTTTTCGCGCCATCTAAAAGGAGTTCGCGAGCCGAACCAAAGCGGCGGTAAAACGTCGGCCGCGCATAATCGTCGCGTGTCGTTAAACTCTCAATCTGTCCGTCTCGTCGGCATTTTTTTTCTCCCCGATTCCCGTTCGGCAAAGCCGCCGCTGTTCGGCTGTTTTTACTATCTGGCGCGGAAAAATTATTATATTTCGTCCTCCTCGCGTAAATAAGATCAAACGTAGATTTTGGAGGCAATGTTTATGAGTTCAATTGCATGCCTTAACTGCGCTTCCTACATATTTATCAAAGTCATGAAACCAATTGTTACTGTCTTAAGAGGGAAGGATTTTCGTTCGGTTTCATATTTACATGATTTTTTATTGTTTGGAAACAAACTCTTTCGAAAAATGTGTACTAAATATTAAGTTCACCATTTTTGTTTTTGAACGCTTTGGATTTGTGGTAATTTATGAGAAAAGTATGTTGATTTTTCGAATTTTTCATATGACCTCCTGAAGATAAGAAACCAGTTCTTATAAAATTTATAAAACATATGCTAAAAATGAACAAAAACGCCATTTTGTTGTTTGTAGGAAAAATAGCCTTTATATTTCTAGCTATATGTTATGGCTCGGGACAAGCTTTCGAAAAGTAAAAATTTTTAGCCTTGCGTCATTCTGGTGGAAATTACGATAGAGTCCTGAAAATATTAACTATTTCACATAACGATCTCAAATAGTGGTTGGATAACATCCCCCAGGGCTCAAATTGTTTTATTTCGAATGATTCTCAGACCCTTCCTTAATCGGAGTAGCGAATTATCTAGAACTAAAGGCAGCCTTTTTTTCGCCTTAAAATAGCCTGCCTGGCCATAATATTCTGTTACAAATAGATAACACAACTAAACTTGCCTATGTTAATAGGTTTGGAGGTATCCAATTCCACAAATTTAACAAACTTTCTTTAGATATCTGGCACTGGTGTGAAAAGAAAAAGCTTTATGTTTTTGCTTCCTACAAGCAAAAAATAATACAATTACGGATGAACAATCGCGAAAGAATAATTTTGAAGCTGAATGTGAATTAAATATCAAATATTTTGCAACATTCATGGTAATGCCGAAGGTATATTGGTTGTCCCATATTGTCTGCCAAACAGTAACTAATAACAATTGACCACTTCTTGATTGACTAGTTAGTTGAATAATATTTTTATACGTTTGTGATGTTGAACTTACGTGTAACTATCGGGGAATCCCAGCAATAATATGGAGCGCATTTGGTTCCCAGAATGACGCGATAACGACGTAACGCACAATATAAATAAATATAAATTTCATGGCATTTTTAAAATTATTTCGGTCGATGACAATGATACAAAAAAAATTGACCAGTCAATTCCACAACCCTAGATATTTATCAAAATAGAAATTATTAACAATTTTCCTACATAAATGTCGTAAGGGTAATTTTTAAATATTACATATATACACATTGTATTGAAACAGTAATATGAAAAACTGTAACAAATTTGCGTAAAATTAAACGCTAACGAACTTGCACAATCGTTGTCATGTATCCGTGCAGATGAATTCTGATGATTTCGAACATCTTTTGTAAAATAACTCAAGACTAATAGTGAAACGTTTTTTGATAATACTTATGTAAGTAATATTGTTATTTTTTTTGTGACAAGTAGTAGGTAAGTAATATGTTTTTAATAAATGAAAATATATTTAACTGAAAATTTCATAATAATTACCAAGGTTACACAGTAGAAATTAATACAAAAAATAAAATCTTTTGCTAAAAAAGACTAATTTAATTTTATCCAAATATTAGATTTATCCAATAAAAACTAGAAACTGATTGGTTGCAGAATCGTAAAGTTTAGGAAAATGCTCCAACTTTGGTCATTAAAACTTCATCGTGGGATCAATATTAACAAAGTTTTCCATTTGTTAATTAATAATGGGACACACCCTGTACTTACTTATTCTATAAATATCGCGAAGAAACACACACCTTAACTGGCTGTTACACAACTTGCACACATTACATTCAAAACTAAGTTGCCTGACAAGACGCTTGACTGTGTTGCGAATCGGATGGTATTTTCCCAATGTAATGATAGATTGTTTGTGAACAAATTTTGTATATCGTTATGATTTTAAATATTCCCAATTTTTTTTGCATTTTACTCGCCAGATAATCAAAACTGACCTCCGTGCGTCGCTCACCCGTCTTATAAACGTCTCGCTCGCACGCGTGGCAACACCGCCACGACAAACCGTTCGTCGGAAACGATCGGCTCGATTCACGGACACCGATCGTAAACGTTTTGTTATTGTGTGTCCGCAAATCTGGAAAACGTGATGTTTTCTCTGTACGCCGCCGAAAAAAATCGTTCGCTAATTTTGGTCGTCGTTAACGCGTGCACCCCTTAAGACGGTATGCGAGGCGAGGGGGCTCGGTCGGCCGCGGCGGTGTGAAATTTATTTTGCTTCGCGTTCGTGACCCGGACGCAGGACCGGATCTGCCGCTACCGCGGGTGCAATGTGGCACGTGTCGTTTTCCGCGATCTTCGAATCCGCCGACGATGCTATCCGCGCGTCGTTCATTAAGACGGAAATGTCGCACGTGAGAGTCGAGTGCTCTTGTGTACTTTAAGCGGCGTCGCCGATATATAAAAGGTTCGTTTCCATGAAGCGCTATTGGGTCCACCCAGTAAATCAAAAGAGGGAAGAACTGGACTGTGCAGGGAGCTGCGATCTCATGAAGATCGTTTTTTTTTTATTACATCTCAAGGGCAAAACAAAATTTTGAAGAACTGGGTAAGGTAAACGTAGTATCCTTACTTGTGATTCCCAGCTCGTTGGAAATCTCACCGCCTCTTCAGTTCAGAGTAAAATTCATTATCATGCAAACGCTGTAAATATTGTTGGGATGCACAATTTAAAATTATTTTAAAGTATACGGGGTGTCTCAAAAAAGCGTGACGAATAAAACATATCTTTTTTTAAAGGAACGCCCTATTTTTAAATTTTGTTGTGATTTCCTTTTTAAAATTCATCAATTGTTTTATTAATAATAATGCATGCTAAACCTAATATTGTTTCTAATATTTCATTTTTTCTAAATAAAATTTGATATCAGCGTTATTCGAATATGGCGTAAAAGATATGCAACGGAATTTAAATTAAATTCTAGAGGATGTTCAAAATAAACGAATATATTTGGATCAGTTTAAATTGAAAAATCTCGATATATGTTATTATTTTTTCGGAAAGTTCTTACAAAAAGCGACAACTTTCATATATAATAATATATTATATATATAATATATATATATATATATATATATATATGATGACACTATATTCCGGGATATCATCCGTTCGCTCGTTGAACTCCGACTGGAATCCTGCATCCGACTGGAATCCTGCAAATCTTGCATCCGACTGGAATCCTGCAGACGTTTCGCCAAAATCTCACTTGGCATCTTCAATGCTCGCGCTCCGAAAACACTTCGAACACTGGGAGGTTATCGGCGGTGCGTGCGGTATTTATACTCTGCGCCGGAGATGGTAACGGTGCTGCTTGTGCGTGGGGGGAGGTGGCTCCGCCCCCTGAATTGTCGCGTTGTTAATTTCGCCCGATCGTAGTTGCGATGTCCCCGTTGACTGCTGCGCATCGCTCTGCTGTTTGATTATCGTTCTCCACGTGTTGGATAAATGCAGAGCGTCGTCTCTCGTATTGAGGTGTCCGGACTTTTCTATTTCGATGGCCTCTCGTATAATCCTAGTCCTAAAATCAGGAATATTAGCTATTTGTTTACAAGTGCCGAAATCAATTTTATGGCCTGTCTGATGTTGGTGCTGAAACAAAGCAGATGTTGTTTGTTTGTTTCTTATGGCTAAACGATGTTCCTCGAGCCTGGCTGAAATCCTTCTGTTGGTCTGTCCCACATACGTCAGGCTGCACGATCCGCATGCTACACTGTATACTCCTTGGTTTTCCAAAACAAAAAATTACTCTGGAAAACCAAGGAGTATACAGTGTAGCATGCGGATCGTGCAGCCTGACGTATGTGGGACAGACCAACAGAAGGATTTCAGCCAGGCTCGAGGAACATCGTTTAGCCATAAGAAACAAACAAACAACATCTGCTTTGTTTCAGCACCAACATCAGACAGGCCATAAAATTGATTTCGGCACTTGTAAACAAATAGCTAATATTCCTGATTTTAGGACTAGGATTATACGAGAGGCCATCGAAATAGAAAAGTCCGGACACCTCAATACGAGAGACGACGCTCTGCATTTATCCAACACGTGGAGAACGATAATCAAACAGCAGAGCGATGCGCAGCAGTCAACGGGGACATCGCAACTACGATCGGGCGAAATTAACAACGCGACAATTCAGAGGGCGGAGCCACCTCCCCCCACGCACAAGCAGCACCGTTACCATCTCCGGCGCAGAGTATAAATACCGCACGCACCGCCGATAACCTCCCAGTGTTCGAAGTGTTTTCGGAGCGCGAGCATTGAAGATGCCAAGTGAGATTTTGGCGAAACGTCTGCAGGATTCCAGTCGGATGCAAGATTTGCAGGATTCCAGTCGGATGCAGGATTCCAGTCGGAGTTCAACGAGCGAACGGATGATATCCCGGAATATAGTGTCATCATATATATATATATATATATATATATATATATATATATATATATATATATATATATATATATATATATAATGTCATATACCAATTTTTAATACTTTGCGATTTATGTTAACTTTTCGAACATTTACCCTTCTCTCTGTCTAAGACTATTTTTATAATATTAGTTGGTTATGACAAAACTATTAGCCAATAATACTAAAAAGTGAACAGGAGAAAAAACTTCGTTAGAGACGTTTCACCAAACATGCTGGCTTCTCTAGAGCGCTGTCTGATACTGACCCCGAACATTCATACACCACACACCCAAATTTCACTGTCGAATTAGAAATTAACAACACTTTTCCCTTTCTAGAGAAGTTCTTACTAATCGAAAACTATATTTAACCTTAGACCATTCCGTCTATAGAAAACGGACTCTAATTGATACTTAAATGCAATTGAATGTAACATCACAGCCCAAAAGAATTCCGTGATTAATTCCTTAGTTTTCATAGTAATATCTATCTCAACCCGAATCTCTTACCTAGGAATTAACAATCTCTCATCAGCCCTTCCGTCAAATAATTACTATTATTAAGATATCATACGTTCGATCAAAAATACACTTCACCTGAACCACTTACATAAAGTATCTTAGTAATTGACTCTCCGTTAGCCGCTGTGGTAGTACTTGTATTCCAAAGGCCACCCACAAAAAAATCCTGAAAAAACATAACATCCACTTTTCTTATAATCTTTCAACATCCTCAAAATCCTCTCGAAAGGCCGATCCAAATACAAGAACTACTCGGACTCAAGAGGGACCTCGTCAGGCAAAGGAACCGCCTGAGAACGCAAAGTAAAGCGAAGTTCCTAACAAAAACCTTGAAAAGAAAAATTTCAATTCTTAAAACTGAACAAATCACGGACACAACTCAGCATGAGAAACGAAGGGTCAAAACTGTGGCCTTTTGTAGACAAAGAAGCGGAAAACACTAAAAGAATTGCAAGGAACGTGCAGAGAGCTGAAGCCCTGACTCAGCCACACCCAGCAGAATTATCAAACAACTCAAATGGAACAAAGCACTTGGCCCGGACGAAATCACAAACTCGACATTAAATAAATTAAAGAACTTCCCCGGGAAGCAGGTCGCCGAATGACAAACCTAATCGACGCAACATTAAGGCCAAAACACTTCTCCAAGTCATGGAGAAGCGCGAAGGTAATTATGATTCATAAATCAGGGAAGTGGCAAAGCGTATCATCCAAAGCAGGCTAGAAAGCCTGCCAAAGATCCAAAGCCAAATCCCCGACGAACGATTCGGCTTTCGTCCCAGCCGTCCTAGCAGCCCCACTCACGGAAAACATACTCGAGACTTTCAACAAGTCAACATTTAGCAGCCGCGTTCCTGGATGTCTCGCCTTCCACATACTCTGCTACAAAATACTGCCACACAAACGCTAAGTTAGAGGCCTCCCCTTCCACCCCATGATCTTCTCAAGCCCGTTCCGAAGGAGGGGACTTTCCGCGACCAGATGAAAAGCTCACGCTGCACACGCTATAATCACCATGCGCCAGTCCAAATCTACCAGAGCCACGGAACCCAAAGTATGACCAAAATACTTAAGTTGCACTTTGTTCCTGCTCACAGAATCCTCTGTAACCTTTTAAAAATACTTGTTATCGGTCTAATTTAAGTAATAATAGTTAGTAGTGAGCCTAGTACTGTTTTTAGTTTATTGGTCTGGCACGGTTACTCCGTTTTCGCTACTTATGTCGATTGGGAGCAAATGGGCCGGATGGCCCGTCAAAGTTTAAGTAACGAACCAAAAGTACGATCATAGAAAACAATATTAAAGGCTGAAACTGAGAGAAACGTCCAACGCGCTAGGTATAACAGTAAACTAATTATTCGGGCACAGTTTCGGAGATGCCAGTGCGTATCGTTCGCATCCAAAAATAGAAACCCCCAATAAACACCTTATCATGGCAAAATTATTTGTCGCTCCGCATTCCCTGTCGCCCACGGGTTCTCCGATGCGTTATTACAATAAGCCGATTTGCCTTTATTGTTTTCTGTTATTGTTGTTTCTTGCTAGTCGATTTGAAGGTAAGGCAGCTTCCTCTTGTACAGTGCGTCCTATTTGTGATGGTTTTACGGCGTATTTCCCTTATTGATAAAACTAGCGTGTTGCGGGTTACTTAAGCCAAGGCTACTTTTTCATACAATGAAAGCTGGCACAAACAGAAGTATTATAGCTATCTTGGCTTGGATTGGATTTTTTGACACCCTTTGTGGCCGAAACTATCGAAATGGTGAAAACTGGTCTGGATAGGGTCCAGTGGCGTTTTCTTCTGATACTTACAAATTTTGAGATATAAAAACTTGTGTTTTTACCACTGACAAAGTAAATGACGATAAAAATAGCAGAGAATCCAGAAAAAAAAGTTTGTTTCTCTTATAGTTCCATAATTTTTAATCAGAAAACATTTTTAACCCATAATACGTGCTTGAAATATCGATGTTGATACAATAACAAATATTTAATGGTTTTTGGAAAGTAATGCATTATAAAATAGTATAACACAGCAAGAGGTCATTATTTTGGGGATTGCTATGGTATACTCTAGTCATATCAGTTAAACAGTTATGTCACCTATAGTATAGTATGTCTTGACGCGGTTTTTGACACGGATTTTAAAACTGACGAACAAAATTCCTGTGCGAATTTAATGAACTAGATAAAAGTCATGCTGTGACGTAACTGCACAATTGCTATGACTGGACTATATGAATGAATTTTAAAAACTGGAATTTGGAATATTTTGTTGAGAAGTGGAAAGGATTCATTTTTTACTTTGTTGAAGTTGTTAAATATAATTGAAATGGGCGCTTCGTTTGCAAAAATGGAATGTTGATTTGAGATACCTTACGAAATGCAATAAGTAAACAAATAGAAATTATAAAAAAACAACACACTTGTATCGTTTACCTAAAAAAAAAGTTGAATTAATATCAATCTA